CAAAAGAATACAAGTTATGTTGGTTGGTACAGCCTACTCTAGACGGCTTTGGAACGGAAACTAGGAACTCTCATCTCGATAAGGTTATCACTAAGGCTAGAAATGCGCTATGGGTTTGCAGTAAAGCTGTGGGGAAAACATGGGGACTACGACCAAACATGGTGTACTGGATATATTCAGCAATAGTTAGACCAAAAATTACCTATGCTTCACTGATAGATGGCCCAAAATAAATGAATCAAAAGAAGGGGCAATGAAAAGTATATCATATGTTGCCTTGGATGCCATATTCTCAATATTCTGCCCTTGCATCAATTTGTTAAATTAGAGGCAGCAAAATTGTTTAGATGGCAATCAGGTAAGGCATTTGAGTACCCTTAAGGATTTCAACTTAAATTCAGCCGTTAATACAGTGGAGGATTGGATGACAAACTATGATGTTCCCTTCAAAGTGGTTAAATCAAGCCGCCATTTATGGGAATCTGGTGGGCCAAATATACGTCCAGGATCTATTGTATTTTACACCAACGGGTCGAAAATGGGTGAAAATACTGGAAGTAGGGTCTATGGCTCTGGAGGCAGTGATGTTGTACCAATGGGACATAGTCCCACATTATTTCAAGCAGAAATTCAACCAATCATTGAATGTGTGAATAGCTGCCTAATAAGAAAATACAGGTTTGCTAAGATCTGTATATTCTCGGACAGCCGAGCAGTTCTTAATGCGCTTAAACTGTAAAACAATTGGCCAACAGGAACGAAGCTACATTGACCGGTCATTGTGGTATTGAAGGAAATGAAAATGCCGACAGTCTAGCAATACAAGCTTCTGCATCCAGCTTCATCGGTCCGGAACGATTTAGTGGAGTCCCTGAATGCACTCTGAGGATGGAACTAAGAACGTGGGAAACGTCTATGGTAGAATCTAATTGGAATGCCACGGATACATCCAGGCAAGCCAAAAGATTTATAACACCGAGTGCTGCCAAAGCTCGGATCTTGCTTAAATCTTAGGAAAACAGATCTTCGTGTAGGAACTGGTCTAATGACTGGTCACTGCCCTAGCAGATATCACTTAAATAAAATTGGAAAAAAATCAGTTTAGCGATGTCATTTTGAAAAAGAAACTGCTGAACATATACTCTGCAATTGCGGAGCACTGATCAATCAAAGAATGTCAATATTTGGAAAAGGGCTATTAGGACCCTTTGAAATTTGGCAAAGCAATCCCAACAGGGTATTAGACTTTATAACACGAGTTGAGCCTAGGTTCATGCTATGTCAGCCAATGTCTATCAAGCTTTAATTGTGACAACCAAATTAAATATGGGTCAAAGAACAATATCCCTAAGTAATGGCCGCAGTTGCAAAATCGCTCTACCGACGAAAAAAAAAATCAGATGAGTATTCATAGCGATTATGGATCATTTTCAAATGAACCTTTGTATCATATGGTCATTTTACTTAGTAATTTAGTGAGTAAATTGAACTCAAATTCCAGTCGGATTCTACGGCTGTGCAGTGGATACATGTTGATATTTTCCAAAATCACTTAGCTCCGAGAAAATTGAATCCACTTCGAAGATCAATGTTGACGTTAGGATAGAGCGGGCCTAGGTTTGACAGTTCGTATATATTGTAAACAGTGCCGTCCCGTTTTTAGCAACTTGATCTCATCAGTTAATCCTTTCCACAAATTGTTGGCAGGTAGAAGGCAAGCTACACTTTAAGATTATTTCCAGGCTTGCTTCCACTCACTTGCTATAAAAAAAAATATTTTCGGAATTTTGAAATCATTAGATATTATAATGATATTGTGTACTTGCTAGATACAAGAAGAGGTTGAAAGGCAAATGTTTGACACATAAAACCTGTCAAATTCGTTTTCAGATAGTCTCAATCAGCGATTTTACGACTCGCGAGCGTTCACTCTGAGTGAACGCACACGAATCTTGAAATCACTGATTGTGACACTCTGAGAGCGAAATTGACAAATTGCATGTGTCGAACACATACTTTACAGCTTCTTCCTTTAACTTACATATGTTGTACTCCATCATAATAACATCTAATGATTTCATAATTCCGAAAAAAAACATTTTTTATAGCAAGTGGAAGCAACCCTGATTATTTCATAGATTTCGGTGAAATTTTACCGAAATCTCAACAGCTGAACGTTCGGTAAACAGTTCGGTGATTTTTCACAGTTTTCCTGTAATTATCAGTGAAGAATTTCGAACGTTCAGCTGATGAGATTTCGGTAAAATTTCACCGAAATCTGTGAAATAATCTTAGTGTGTAGTTAGCAATTGCGTTATTTAAATCAAGTGCAAAACCGCTGGCCGGACTGAGCAGTTATAACATGTTATAAGCCTATCTTGATGACATTTTTCTTGTCGATCATTATCATAACATGTTATAACACTGTAGTCTGATCGTGGTATAACACAAAATCCTACTTAGATTGTTCTTGAAAATCATGATATCCACCACATGTTCGACCAACTCTATTTCGGCAAATGTGAGTTGAATTTTCCGAACTCAATCCATTAGTATAATCCTAGACTGAGTAAAATTTTCATGGTTTTTCCTCAAATTCAACGCACTTCTGCCGACATTGAACCGACTCGAACGACAACTTTGACCGTGCACTAAAGACTATGTTCAATCTGCTGTGCGGTAACAAGCCGACAAGCTTCGTTCAAGCACACTTTTCCCCCCACTGTACCAAAGAGTCTTTATAAGCCGTCCATTTACTGACCGTACAATATACTGTCCAACTCTCACAGTTTCCCAATTCCCAATCAGCCGTGTCCGTTTTATTTTTATTCTTTTATTTTTCCACGCCATCCCATGCGGATTCTTCAAAAGCAATACGGACACATCGCAAATTCAAACTGCTGCTATCCACCCACCTAACCGAGAGAAGATTGATTTGGTCTACTAACATAAAAATTACCTTTAATCAACTTTCCAACGTTAACTCCGACACACACACACACACTCATATACCTAAAGCACACGGTTTGCAGTTTGCACGTACGCCTATGTGCAAGGTACGTTTCGCAAGGATAATCTCCCGGTGGACCAACGACGGCAAAAAGCCCTCCGCTTGGAAACAGGCTTCAGCATTTTGTTGCGAGACGAACGAGCTTTTCCGTTCCGCAACCATTTTTTCTTTCTTTCCTTGGGGTGGTGCTAGTCAAACAGTCTAAAATTGGGAATGTTCCAAATCGTTGAGTCAGTTGTTGGGGATGTGCTGATGGTGGAAAAGGGGAAAGCAGGAAAAATTCGAGTTGCTGCTGCTGCGGATGATATCACTTGGATGGCAAGCAGAGGAAAATATTTTATTGATTTTTCGCCGACCCGACGGTGATGGCGTCGACGGCGAAGACTGCGAATTGTGGAGACATTCTGCTGCTGCTGCTGCTGCTGCTAGAATAGCGCAAACATGTGGGAGGAAAGAGGAAACAGCGAGCGCCCATATCCAGAACAACGGCGCAATGAAGAAAGCTCTACATGGCCATTTGTCTGCCAACGGGGTTTACTACTGCGACGTGAATTGAAGTACATAAGGAGACGAGCTTTTGTTATGTTTTCGACCAAGAGTACATAGTGTGAAAGCACACTCACTCATTCGTTCGTTGCACAAAAAGCTGGGCTACAGCAGGTTCGGGCGCACCGCACCGGATGATGACGATGATGATGATGGAGAACACCACAGGACTTTTGGAGGCAGTTAGCAGCATAGCCATCGAGCACAGTACAAATAAGGATATTCCCACGGTTCTTAGTGCTCGCGCTCTCGCTCTCTCTCACCAAGTAGGCTCTGGCTCTCACATTCTGTGGAAACATACCAGGCTACTCTGATGCAGACTTGGTTCGATAGGAGGCGGCTCCACATTGTGCCAGAACAGCCGGAGGACACACAAGAAGAGAACAGTCGGTTTCCAGCTTCAGCACCTGTCCATCCGGAGCGACACGACGGCTCCAAAGTTGTGTGAGACCAGAATATTCTGGTTCCGTAGTTCTACGTTGGTTTTCCTCTTTTTAAAAATAGTCAGTGACAGTTAGAAAGGAATCCCGCAGCGTGAAACTTGGAGAAACATTTGCCTACGGACAGTACTGTGAGTGCGCCGTGTATTACGTCATACTCGGGCGTCACGTTTCTGTCGTGGAACGCCGCGTTCGTCTCATGTGAGTGTGTATTACCGTACTGACATATAACTGTACAATACTGCCGTTGCCTCGAGGTGCTTAGTCATCGCAATAATTTAAAGCTACCCCCTCTCGCCATCACCGTTAGTGCGTCAAATTTTCACCGATTCAATCGGACTTCTTTCGGGACGACATTCCAATGCTAGCTTCGATTATGGTATTGCCCCACCCAGCAGTGGCAAAATCTGTTGCTCCGTCGAAGGCGCATCCCACGGAATCCATTTACGGCTAATTAAGCATCACGTGGATGCAGGGGAAAAGTTCGCTAGCAACCGCATTATATCATCTATTATGGCACAGTGCGAAAAAAAACATCGGAATACCCCTCGTCATTATAAAAGGCTTTTTTTTTAGTCCGATCCGATCTATTTACACATTGTCTCTCGCTGTCGTCCTACTTTTGAGATCTCCATCTCCCCATTGCCACACACCACCATCCTCCGCATTATTAACAAATAGAGTCTCCCTGAATCCCCATCCCAACGCTGCTGTCACTACATACTACACCGCACCGCTCGCCTACTTCTCCACAGGGGTCAACTATCGATTTTTTGCATCGATACTTACCGTCAACCACCAAGCAGTTGTACCTGTCAGTGTGTTGTATGCATCGAGTATAGTTTGAGTGCTGAAAAACCTTGAAGTCGTCGTCTCTGTTGGACCTGTGCGTGACCGTGCCTCTCAACCACGGTGTCGTCACGGCGGCGCTGCTGCTGAACCGAAACCGAACCGATCGATCTTCTACATTGTGTCCTCCTTCATCTCCCTCTTACCCCGAACAGGAACATCAGTACCAGCGGCGACAGTAACAGAAGCAGCATCAGCTAACTCACCACCACCACCACCACCACCACCACCAGAACCAGAGCAAAATGTCTACCGTCGACAAGGAGGAGTTGGTCCAGAAGGCTAAACTGGCCGAACAATCGGAACGGTGAGTCGAATCGATCTACTGTCTATCCACTTTCCATACCGAATGCCAATGCCTAATAAATTATTCCCCGGGCAGATATGACGACATGGCACAAGCGATGAAATCAGTGACAGAAACCGGAGTAGAACTATCAAACGAAGAACGAAACCTGCTATCTGTCGCCTACAAGAACGTCGTCGGTGCACGAAGGTAATTTTTCTTTTTTGTGGAATCCTCTTAACAATCTGAAAATCCATACCAATTATCCTTTCTTCCATCCACAATAAATAGATCGTCATGGCGAGTAATATCGTCGATTGAACAGAAAACCGAGTCCTCTGCCCGCAAACAGCAACTAGCCCGGGAATACCGAGAACGAGTCGAGAAAGAACTTAGGGAAATCTGCTACGAAGTATTGGTAAGTCTTTTAACCCTCAATAGATCATTGGCTATATTCACGATTGTACCTTACTTCGTTTAAAACAAAAATGTTTAAATTGACAATCCAGAAGGTGACGTTTGGCTGTACATCATCTGGGCATCATAGACATATTTGCCATTATTGAAATCAAAAATGAAAATAAAGTTGATAATCGGTGGAGAAGTTTGGTAAAATTGAAAAAAACATCACTACCCGAGCAGGAACCGATAACATATGAATATCTCAATGTGGTATGATATCTTATTTTGATATGCTTGTGGTATAAAACCATCATTTGATATTATTCAGTTATCGATATATTTCGTAAAATATCAAATAAATACCAAAATAACAAAACGTGATCTTTCAGTTTTTAAACAATAACACCTTAAAGAGCTATTGGATTGATTAGTTATCCTATTTCCGTTCCTGAATTTGGTATTAATAAGCTATTTTCTTCTGCTCGGGTGTTGAAAACAGTTTGACAGATAAAATGAGGGGTTCGTGGATTTTCCTATGTTTCGAGGGGTGCATCGATTAGCTTGGTACCGAAGATAGTACCAGAGCTGAGCCAAAAAGTTGAGCACGTATTCTTCTGGTATCCAAATATAATTTTGTAGTATTTTGCATGCAATGTTTTAGTATTATTCTTTGGTATTTTACCTCTGACATGATTGAAACAAAATTTTGGAATCAGGAACAGAATTAGGTCTTCATAAGCTATTTTCCCCTGCTCGGATACTTTACTCGATCCCTCCGTAGTTCGATATTCGCCCTAACATGATGGAACTCCGGGTTACTTCCAAAATGGGCAGTTTCAAGCCAAATAGCGAAAATAATGCCGATTGGCATGAAACTCTTCATAAATATTTGTTATGGGTAATCATTCACATTTGTGCAAAGATTCTGTAATTTTGAATCATGCAATTGTTTGTTTGAAAATGGCGTGTTCGACATTTTTCATAAATCATAGCAAGAAAACGACACTTTTAAAAGTGAAGCCTTCTTGGAAACATTTTAAATAACAAATAACGGTACATTTTTAAAGTAATTTTGGGAAAAAATCCTAAAAATAGTTTAAAATTTAAACAATAAAAAATCTCCCAAACAATGGAAATCATTCAATCAAAAACTAAAAATATTTTGTTTATTTAAAAAATGCAATACAAAACCAAAACAATAACACACAGGTAGTCTTTTGGTATCCAAATATCAATTTTTGTAAGTATTTTGCAAGCTTTTTTGTTGGCATTATTATTTGGTATTTTACCTCTTATGTCAAGCTGATTAACACCAAATTTTTATATCAGGTCAGAATTAGGTATTCATTAAATATTTCCTCCTGCTCGGGAGTGAACAGTCAATCACTAACTAACTAAATTATGTATTAGTTCGTTATACCTTATTTCATACCTCAATTTGGTATTCGTAAGTTATTTTCTCCTACTCGGGTTCTGTCATTTTTTGCTTGACATGCATTTGACGAGGCAGAACACGTGCAAATTATAGTCGCTATATTCATAGTCTGGCGGATAGAATCTCGGGAACCAATTGAGCTGTCAAATAGCGGAACCAATCGAGCAAATCACAACCCACAACTGAAAAGAGCACATCAGCTATTGCGAACAAAACTTCGGAAACCGTTTTCTCGTTACTCAAGGCTTGCCTACGCAAACTAACACCATCTTTAGGTTGTGGAAAGTTTTCCCTATCCGATAATGCTGTTAATTTACCTTCGATTGGAGTGGAAAGAATAATCAACGTTTTGTTTATAAAAGTTGATAGTACCTTTTCAGTTGTTGGTCTACAATATATTGATAGATCGAAATTCCATCCGCCAGACTATACATATAGTGACTATAGTGTGAATCGGTCCTACTCGCACTCATTCGATCGGATGGCGCACTAGTGTGTGTGCAGTAATCTTATACCTGAGTTAGTACGCATACTTCTGTAATTTACGTAAACAAATAGTAAGATGTGTACACAGTCGAATAGGTGGAGCTGATGTAGAAAAGAAGAATGATTCATCGGATTTTTTTAATATCCGTATTAGCACGGTCGGTTTGTCGGGCTCAAATTCACCTCCATAGCTCGATATATTCTCCCTAACTCGATTTAATTGATATCGAGTTTGTTTTCCCCTGTTCGGGACATACAACCCCTCCGACCAGTAATTTGATCTATTGTAGTACATCCCGTATCCTTAGTTTAGTGCATGTCGTATTACCGGTGGAAACTAACGATTTCAAATTTGCTCACTACTTGACTTGCCTATTGGTCCCAAGCAAATCGATTAACATACCCCATTCTAGTCGAAATTCTAGTACTACACTATGTTTGTTTTGATTCACTATGAAAGCTTGACAGATAAAATGAGTCGTTCGTGGATTTTCCAATGTTTCGAGGGGTGCATCGATTAGCTTGGGACCGAAGAGAGTACCAGAGGTGAGCCAAAAAGTTGAGCACGTTTCTTCGGGACCTTCTGGTCTTAGAGTTACCTCTTTGGTATTACCAACAATCAATACGAAACTAACGATTTTAAATTGGCTCACCACTTTAGTAGCCTATTGGTCCCAAGCAAACGATTAACGTACCCTATTCTAGTTGAAATTCTATTACTACACTATGTTTGTTTTGATTCGCTATGACAGTTTGACAGATAACATCAGGGGTGTGTGGATTCATGCAGAACATGCAGGGGTGAGTGAAATAGCTTGGGACTGCTTGGGACCGTTGTTCTGGTACTGAGTGAGCCAAAAATAATAATGATTTTCTTCGGGACCCAGTGGTCTTAGAGTTACCTCTATGGTATTACCATAGAGGTAACTCTAAGACTAGAAGGTCCCAAAATAACGTGCTCAACTTTTTGGCTCAGCTCTGGTACTCTCTTCGGTCCCAAGCTAATCGATTCACCCCTCGAAACGTACGAAAAACCAATAACCCCTCATTTTATCTGTCAAACTTTCATAGCGAATCAAAACAAACATTGCGTAGTACTAGAATTTCGACTAGAATAGGGTACGTTAATCGTTTGCTTGGGACCAATAGGCTACTAAAGTGGTGAGCCAATTTAAAATCGTTAGTTTCGTATTGATTGTTGGTATTACTCCATCACTATTAAGAAATGATGAAATATTCGATCTTGATACAGTTGTCATTCTTGCCTTCATCGCAAGGAATCTATTCTAAATGAAAGGTCCCGTTATTTATACCCTTTCGAAGATTGAGAGCACCCTCCAAAGACGCGCCCTTATGTCATTCAAAATAGGATTTCTTGACAACAAAATTAAGCAATGACATCGATAATGACCATGCATCAGAACCCTAGTCTTAATCAGAACCCTAGTCTTAATCAAACTAGAGTTCAACGAATAGAAGATAAGGAATCACATAGGTGAATACTAACTAAGTAATTTTTGCCTCGTTTCAAGATCATCCTTGGTCCAAGCAACCCGAGGACTTATCACTATTAACAAGGTATACAAAGTAAAAAGGGCTAAGATGCGTTCCTTTGATTACTGAAAAATCCTGTTCCTCTAGTTTGAAGAAGTCAGAACTAGGAATCGGTGATAGATCTTACCTCCCGTAACGTACCACGAAAAGATGATCGACCCACGTTACGAGGCTGATATCGAGTTTGGCAGGGTTGACTGTATTTCAAGCATGGGAAAATTCATTCACTCGCACGAGCATCACAGATACAAAATAAAACAAGTGTGAATTCTTCCAACAAAGTGACGCAGGCACATATGCCAGGCTAGCTCAGTTGATCAACCAAAGTAGGCTGAAGTGACGTCATTAGAATCGTTAAAGTAAACAGTGCAGAAGGGAAATCTTTTTTTTTTTCACAGGTCATGGGTTTTTGACGTGCCAGACGGGATTTGAATTCATTCGGGTTTTGGCAGATGGTGGCAAACCCGCAACTCAAGCAGCTCTAAGAAACTGCAACAAAATAAAGTTCTTTTGAATCTCAGCATTATAGAGCAGGAACCCAAAAGTAGGTAAAGCGGTTAAAGTAGTTTTCATTTACTTGTGTGCAATTCGTACGGAATTTTCCACTAGCTTTCTACCCAAAAGTAATTTAGTTGTATCAATTATATCGAATATTAACAATATGATCCATTCATGTTTTTTCCAAATGTTGTAATGGCGATCCGCAAAATATTGCTTCACGCACCATCTAGCGTTGAAAAAGGTCAGCAACAATCATTCAATTACAATCGAGGGGTGCGAATATAGCACTTATTACAAAAGTAAGAGTCAAATTATTTTCATTAATTACATTGTGCATATAACTTAATATATCACTTAATAAACTTTGTCTGATATGTCACTGTTGTCATCAAATAAAATAAAATGCTGAAATAGATTCATTTGAAATATTAAACAAATTTTCATTTGGTTTACCCCTCGTGACCATAAACAAATACATTGGTAGCCTTTTTGGCCACAGAGGTGCTTTCATCGCTAAAAATTCGGTTTGCCACCTAAGCGAAAGAGTGGATCATATTGTTAATATAATGTATTTGATTGTATCCAAAAGTAGGTGAATATGATTATACTTAACGTTGGGTTCCCACAGTTTACTATCCCTATTGGGTGGTTTTGCTCCTCGGTTTTTGACAACATTAAAAGGAGAAAAGACTAGTCAGAAGTAGGTAAAAGCGAACTGGCCGTTCGGTACTTTTTTCTTACCGTGTAGGGATACTAATAGCTTCGTGTTTCGGCAGCAGTTCCTTTTTCCTGACATTGAACCAGCGTTGCCAGATATACCGATTTATCGGTATTTATACCGATTTCCGAACTAGATACCTATATACAGATAAGATTCCTCAGAATACCGATTTTTGAAATTGAATACCGATTTATACCGATTTTTAAATGATCAAAATTATGTTTGCCTACCCGCGCTCGAATTTCGGTAAAAATTACTGAGAGAGACTTGTACCTTTTTGAATAACCCAAACTTTTAAAACCCGCAATATTCTTTAAAA